CGGAAAGAGGGAAAAAAAAAAACAAAAAGTTAAAAGCTCAAATTGGTCCCTTAACTATTCTACGGTTTTAATTCCAAAACCCAACAAATCTCTGAGTAAAGCTTAAAATTTGAAATCTTCATCTTTTTTTTTTTTTTCTCCTCCTCTTAAAAATTGACGTACAATAAGTAATTTTATGTGACGGCAAATATAATAATTAAATTAATTTAATTTATCAACAAATTTAAAAAATTTCAATTAGTAATGCGAAAAAAAAGACCCCTAGGAATAACTCATTTGAGAGTGAATTCATCATTAATCACTAACCATGATGTTAAAAAATTTTATAAAACACTGATATCGTGGCGGTTTGGTGGAACCTACAAACCATTGCACCAAGTGTACAATCATTTGTCACTGTTTACAAAGCAATCATATCTCAAAGAAAACCCTAAATTCATCCCTTATAAATTCCCCAAAGCCAGCTGTCCTACTCCTACATCAACATCACTCCTGCTCAAACAGATCAATGGAGGTAAAACCAACATATACAGAAACACACACTTGATTCCGCCGGTGCTTCCTTCCCTATACGCGAATCGCTGACAGTTCAAATCCATCATCAATATAAGAAAGCTTTCTTTCTCCAGTTTTTTTAGAAGCCTCAACACATACCAACACAAGCATGTGGATTGTCTCCATGCTTTGCACAACGTAATATGCGGTCAACAGAGCCATGTATGCTAAATGTGCCTTCAAAATCTTGTTTGCCTTTCCACTCTCCCAAGCAGAGTCTGGAGCTCGCTTCTTTCCCTCTTCTTTCTCCTTCTCTGGTCCCTCGTCCTTCTCTGGTCCCTCGTCCTTCTCTGGTCCCTCGTCCTTCTCCTGTCCCTCGTCCTTCTCCGGCCCTCTGCCCTCCGGCCCTTCGTCGTCTGGCCCCTCGTCCTCTTCTTCATCCTCTTTCATTTTCTTACGCAGGTTTTGGGGTTTCAGAAAAGCCTCAAATTCAGCTTCCCTTTGCTCCCATTCAGCTTCCCTTTGCTCCCATTCATCTTCCCTTCGCATAGATTCATCTTTGATTCGCATAAATTCATCTTCCCTTCGCATAAATTCATCTTCGCTTCGCAAAAATTCATCTTGCCTTCGCAAAAATTCATCTTCCCTTCGCATACATTCATCTTCCCTTCGCATACATTCATCTTCCCTTCGCCTAAATTCAGCTTGCCTTCGCCTAAATTCACTTTCAGCATGCCCTCGCCTAAATTCAGCTTCCCCTCGCCTAAATTCAGCTTGCCTTCGCCTAAATTCACTTTCCCTTCGCATAAATTCAACTTCCCTTCGCTGATCTTCCCAAATTGCAGCTGCAAACCAAAAAAAGGAAAATTAGGAAAATAAAAGTATGGTAAAATTTCCCATGCTTTAGCAAAATTAATCCAAAAGGAATAAACAAAAGCTATGGCACACATGGATTCAGAACCAAGTCTCTGTCACGCCAACTTAACATAAATGTATAACAAAGGTTAATTAGGATTAAGAGGCTGTATAGAAAAAGGATCAAAGCCATCGTGCTTGCTTGAAGAATAAGGTTTTCTAACATCAGAGTGGCCCACGACAATTAACAAGGGCCATACCATTTTCTTCAGAATTATTCAAATTCATGAGTAAGACAAGAAAATAAAAACAGAATCCAAAAAATAATTAATAAATAAATTATTTCTATAAATAAGATTTAATTTTTATGGAGTCTCACCTGTTATAATTAACGCAAGCACTAATTAAAAAGAATGATGGTTAGGAATAATATAATAAAAAGTTTAACACAATACCTTTTTCTATAAAGATTTGAAAGCCAAAAATGCTTTTGCAGGATGGGATTATATATTTTAAAAAGGTTAGCCTGTGCTAAAAATTACTTAAATTTGATTTTTAAAAGATAAGCCAAAACGAGAGAAATTAAAACTTAAAAGAAACGAGCCTCTGGAACCCAAAGGTCTCTTACCAAGGTATACAGCAATTCTTTTATGTCCATTGGCAGAGGCCAGATCGGCAGGTGTTCTGCCTAAAGGATATTCTGGTGATGGATATGTTAATGCTCGAGGATCTGCACCCAATGAAATGAGGGTAGCCACTGTGTTTACTCTGAAGTTGAAGAAAGTTTATGTCAATAGAACCAGCACAGAAAAGATCAATGAGTCAGAAATCACTGAGAAAATAATACATAGGCTAAGCATGAAATGTCAGATGATATGGTATTTTTCACATTTTTTGAATATGAAAGTTAAGAAAGATATATTTTCCTCATTATGGAGTATTTGCTAACCTATAGAGCCATTATTTTAGAGTCTTCTTTGGAGCTTCTCTTGCGGACAACAGCAAAATACTCAAAAAGGGAAAAGATAAACAAACAGAGGAAATGGTACACATTAAAGAAATATTCAAAAGAATTGTAGAGGTGTTCACCTGCCACAAAATGCTGCCCAGTGAAGTGCAGTCCATCTATTCACATCACGGAAATTAACACTTCCACCAGCAACTATGGTAGGCTCCAAAGCCCAATCATAGCCAAGTGCAGCTGCCAAATGTAGAACACCTAGTCCACCCCCATCCAATATACTAGGGCCATCACCTCCTTCAGCTACCTTCTGTAAGAGCCATACATGCAACTTCTCTTTCAAATGCTTCTGAAAGAGCTGGTCCTTAAAGGTTTCAAAGGATAATTCCGTTCCTGAACCAGTCTTTAACATCTGGTCCAGTTCTTCGTTGTCCCCTTTCAGCAATGAACTGATTTTATTGCTCACCTGGGATGCATCCTCTAAGCTGTTGGTGACATGATTAGCGGCACTGGAGCCTGAACACAGTATTTTATCAAAACACAGAAGAAGATTTGCTTTGGCACTGTCACTATGGTTTTCGGCAGCATTTATATCTTGGATATCCAATTTCCCTTCAGAGGGAATGCTCGAAACATCAATCTCATCACTCTCTTGGCCTTGCGAATATGGACATGCTACTTGAGCCTCTTTAACACGATCAGTGTCTTCACTTTTTCCCTTATATAATTTCAGAAAAAGAATATAAGAAAAAAGGGCTCTATGATGAAATTGTTCATGCATCTTATTGACAAGAGTAAAGATTATGAAAAGTATTGGATCCCATCTGATTTTACTAATGTGTACGTCCATAAACTTATATTAACATGTGTAATATAACTTGCTTCTGTGACAGTAGACATTGAAGGCTTTAGATATAATTTTTAACAGGTCCTCACAATGCTGTGATATGAAAGTGTAAGGTTACTTTCCTTCAGAAAGAAGGCACCAAGATAGTGGAACGGGAGGAAAAACATAGCATAAATCTGGCACATGACAAACGGCAACATTTTTATCACCTTACGGAAACAACTGTTCATTTTAAAGTACAACTCAACAGCAAGCAGTCGGATGGTTGGGGGTGAGGATACTGGTAAAGAAAAATAAAAGATGGAGACCGAAAAGGAACATCTTGGAAGACATGAAAGAAAAAAGACCAAGTCCAAGAAAAAAGGAGTAAAGATATTCCTGGTTGGAATCAAGGAATAAATTACTTCACATAGCCAAATATAATAAAGCTCTATAGTTAAGAATAGTCAAGAGTTAGACCCAGCGTTAACCATCTGAGATAGTATATTTCTAACAATATATCTGGCATGCTCCTATAAATATTTCCAAATGAAAAAGACAACAGGGTATAACATGATATACCACATATCTCACCACAAACACTATGTAATACAGCCATAAATTCCAGTGACAGACTATACCAGAAACCAAAATCAAGTCAATTCCCATAAAAAAATCTAAGTCAATGAAATTGTGTCCTGCTAACCGAAATTTTGCAGACTCAATGGAAAAATAAAAGGAAAATGAACATAATCAATGTGGGAGTGTCATAACCTGTCCTTAAATGCATAGAATAAAACCTGTTAGCCCTTAATTAGGGGGATTTGATTTAAGAAAAGGAAAGTTGGTGGTTGCATGGCTAATTTCGTAAAAGTTGCTTAGTGGAGTTTGATTGACTAGCACTAGCTTGTCATGTTTACACTTGTATTATCCCATGGTCTTATGCATGTTTTGATTTAAACATTTGAGAACTCTTTTACTTTCATTTTCCTTTTACAACCGCGAGAGAGCGAGAGGAGGAAAGGTTTGCGAAGGGCAGCTTCTGTTCTCATCTTTTTACGGTGTTTCCTACTTAGCAACTGGTATATATTTGTGCTTATGGGCCGACCCAGAGGAGAGTAACAGTTAAGGAGCTGCTGATCAACCAGTGAAGAAATTGAAGGAAATCCGAGGAAGTTCCACCCAGGATAGCAATGGATTTGTTTGGTAAGTACAAGTTACTGCCTTTGTAGCTTAATTAGATGGAATATGGTAATTACATGGTTTAAAATGACTCTAGCATTAAGCTAATACAAGTTAAAGTGGGTTAGAATGCTGTATATAGCTTATTGGTGATGGGTTTTTGACATGCTGGTGGAGATTAAGGATTAGAATCAATAACTTATTGTGTTTGAGAATGTTTATGAATTGTAGAC